AAGTGTCAAAAGCCAGCCTTCGGCCTCTAAATTTGGAGCTCTTCCAATTGACAGTTTAGTCATGAAGTAATCGGAAATGGAAGTGCGAAGTACGTGTACAGCGTGAGTGGGGAGAATCTTCTCCAAACCGGGGCAGCCCATCTCTGGTAGAACCTCTGATATATCTAAGCATGCATGACGTCATTTCATTCCAAAGTCAGGACTGAGATTGTGATTGGTATATTTCGATGCCACGTTTTTGTAATACAACAAACTGTACAAAAATGCTACTCATCGCAGGCGTGATGTTTACGCATGTGGGGAGCTTGCATTACGTGCATATACATGTAGAAGGTGCCTGCTGATTGGTCAGTTTCTCGAGGTCATTTGCAATCTAGATGCATAATTAATTGCTGAATCTGTTAACATATCGTAGACATTGTAACATCCCCCATCCCCCCCCCTCCCCCCACAACACGGATTTATGCCCCTGGTCAGAGGAATATAGTCTGGCCTTTAGGGTCAAGCAAAAGTTGCTTTTTTATTCCTTTTCAGAAATTCAAAATGAATATCATATGAATATCGGAAATAAACAGTTGCCAGCTTCTTCCATCATGGACTTTGATAGAGCAGGATTTGCTGCCGACGGTAGCTTTAAAATCGTTCATATTGTGAACGCTCCTATGGGGCTTTCATCAAGCCTGCCCAAATAGAAATTTCATCCTTTTGCATCTGTGTATCGGGCACATTAATTGGTTGCTGCACAAAGAGATGACCTTTTGTGCCCTACAATGCCATCAAGTCTCTGAAGTTCCTAGTGAAAGACCCAATTATTCTGGACCACCCTTGGCGTTTATGTTTATCGTTCCAAACAAGTTGGTGTGTTCTTATCGCCAACACCCAGTTCAAAGCTGAGCTCCTATAATGTGTTAAGAAGTTGACCTCTTTCTGTTCCGTTGAAGGAAGCAGCCTTCGAGGTGCGAAGGATGTTTCTGAAAAGTGGACTTGCAGGCAATTGTTAAATTTTTCCAGTGAGCATTATTGCCACGTCTTTCTTTTGATTTACATTTTGGGGTACTGACTGTAGTAGGAAACATTCTGGAGAAGGAGGTGATTGATACCATCACACTGCATTGACTTCATTCTTACTTTGGATTATTTGGGATGTGTTTTCAGACGAGGGTAATTTTTATTGTTTCAAAGCGTGACATTTTCTTGTCCCAGTAACCTGTCAACTTTCTAATTTGCCTTCAAGTATCACTAGCTAAAAAAGACTTCAAACTTTTCTCATTTGTTGGGTAGGTAACAGTAGTTTCACTGTTAGGAAAAAGAATTTACAAAACCGTACACTTCGTACGGGGACAGGAAAAAAGTGGACTCCAAATTAGAATGACCTCTATTTAAGATAAAAGAAAACTGTTGTATAGGCCTGAAACGTACAATTCATGCTTTTTTTGCATGTGTGCTTTCTCACAAGAGCCAAGTGGGAACGAAAGCCACCAAGCTCCCATAACTTTAATAGACAGCGCACATGTATGTAAACAAAGCAAATCACTACACTGTATGTCTCGGTCTATTTCAGAACAAGACTAAAGCAAAAAGGAAAACAAAATAAAAATTTGGCATCATCAACTTCCGTTCAGGAATTCAAGATGATGCCCTCCTGACTGGAGTACGTTTTTAAACACTGCTGACATGTAACTTAATTGCATCATGCAACCCAGTCCAAGGCCACTTAAATACTTCTTGAAAGAGTTCAACCTTGGCACTTACACGTTGAGTCCTGGAGGTTAGCCAAACTTTCATCATTGGCGAGTGTTAGTACAGGAATACATTGAGAAGGAAATGCGCGACAGAATATAATTCGAAGACGGAAGAGTAATTTGTTCATGACTATTCTCCTGAGGTCATTGTTGCAAATGTGATGTACTTGAATCTTAGACCCCCCCCAAAAAATGAATAAATAAAAAATTACACAAAAACTACAGGTCAATGTGAGCACATTGCACTCTTGTAGAATGCCATGGTCCAGTGGTTACGGCGTTTGACTCATGCATGATGGTTCATGGGTTCAAACCATGCCAGAAACATGGTGTTTGTGCCCTTGGGTAGGACACTTAACCACAATTGTCTCTCTCCACCCAGGAGTATAAATGGGTACCTGTGAGGGTAGTGGACCAAATGTGCGCTGATATCGGCTGCGACGTGGTCTTGGGCCTGATGAGCAGGGGTACAATTGTAAAGCACTTTGAGATCATTGATATGACATGTATGATGGAAAGTGCTATGTAAGCATTACAGTTTATAATTCTTTTCCCCTTGAAAAATTGACAATATTAGTGTATCAACAAGAAAGAAGAACAGCAGAGGCATGCATGGCATTACCCTAACTTAATTAATCATGCTGGTTGATCTGCATGTACCCTGTATTGTAAATACAGTGGAACATCGCTATACCAAACACCGCTATACCAAACATTCCGCTATACCGAACATTGTCCTTGGCTCCCAATTTTTGTGTACAAAACCAACCGAACATTGTTGTTGAAAACCGTCAACAGAAGAGCGACATGTGGCTGTTATTTCCCCAAGGCACTGTGTAATTACATAGTCAGCACATGTTCGAAGTTGTCTTTCAGTAACAACCAGGGCGTGCAGGGTGAATTTATGAAGGGCGCCAATTATTGAAAAGTGAGTACCGGAATACTGGCAGCTTAAAATCGCTTTACCGAACGATCACTGTGACAAACATTTTCTGTGGATCCCGCGATGTTTGTTATAGCGGCGTTCCATTTCCCAACTAGGAATTGGAATGTCCCTTACTGTCCCATGCTGTTCCAAAAAGCAGAAACATGCGTGATCTTCAGCAAGTGGAATCAAGAACTACATGGCTAACCGTATTCAAATACATGTACATGCTTGTCGACAATAGTTGGAATAGCCTGTGGTTGGTCGCTTACCATTGGCTACCTACAGTAACATGCATTGTAATAGCAGGCAGCCAAGTCAGAGAAGTTTTGTAATGATGTTTGACCACCGTTTGACTAGAGACATTTGCACTTCAGTATTGTGCAAGTGCAATGTTAATATAAATCAAGGGCGAGCCCCTACATGTAGGCGGTGGAAGTAGAGGTTGGGGGGGGGGGAAGGGGTGGGGGCAGGGGGATATGCCATGGAGGGCATTTGCTCCCTCCCCCCCCCCCACTATTTTAAGTTCTTTCCTTTTCCTGCCTACATTTAGATACCCTGTTACAGGATGCGCTGCGCCCTTCTAGGTTCAGAAATGTTCTCTTGCCATTGTACAAGTTGGCCAATATATCGTCCTTGATTGCACTTGTACCCTGTCAATCTTTAGTGCTGGATACAGTGCTGAGCTGAGGGGTTTTTAACCATTGTGCTACTGCTGTACACAATGTACCAAACTTTGAACTTTCAAGTCAACAGTTAAGCATGGCATTGGCATAACGTTTCAAATTGGCCTGTTGTGACTCAGTTACAAGACAATCTTGAAGCGGACCCTGGGGGCTAGGACAGTAAGAAATAAAATTAGCATGATTTGCTGTGATGCATGATAACAGAACCAGATAGCTGCAGGGGCTATAAATACTGATAACAGGGTCTGCAGACTGAGGATAAGCCTGCAGGAATATTGGGTCAGCATGCCTGCCAAAAATGTGAACTTGGTAGCCGTACATTGCCGGCCACTGTAGAAGCTAATTAGCCAGGACTGTGGGGCTAATATCTGAGGGTCACCGAGGTCATATTGTCCCCCTCTCCAGGTAGAGGGGGAGGGGAGGGATTAGGCAGGAGACCTGAGCTAAAGATGATTGAGTGGTGTTAGAGGAGCTGTGGGGGTGATAAGCCTGGTCTGGGGTGACTTTGCCCAAAGACGTGGGTGGGGAGGGGGGGGGGTTCAGTAACGTGGGGGTGTTTGAGTTGAGCATGGAATGTTGCTGATGCGTTGCAAGCAGGAAGAGGGACAAGAAATGAGGGAATTTAGTGGGAATTATTGAGTGATGTGCAGAGGGTAGTACTGCATCGTCCGTGATGGGAGAGCATCTAGGAGGTTACATGGGAGGCTAGTTCTGCCGTGATAAATGCTCAACGGGAATGATGTACATTAAGTGGAGCTACGAGTTTAGTTGAGAATTTGGAATTTCACTGCAAGATGTTTGGTATGTGTGATGTATGGATGTAGAGGAAAAGTGTTTCAGAAGATGGCACGGTTAGCATGGTTAGTCTCTGTCCAAGACTGGATTTGGTTCCCGAAAGCATCTTGTCCATGACAAACTTGGTGAAACTGTCATGGTGATAGAGACAAGATCTTGTCTATCAACAAGATGCATCAAAGGCATTCTTGGAAATTTAGGCACTGTATTCCAAGCTAATGTGCATGCGTGAGGTATGCTCACAATTTCTTGGGTGGGAGTGTCAAAGTACCCTAGACTGGATTTGACTAAACTTGCGAATAGCGCCCTCTGCTGCCAGGGCTGCTTGGCTGCACTTGCCAGGGATTGGAACCGGATGCATTAGGGAAAACGAGAAGAAAGTTCAGTCTTGAACCAAGACTAACCCACTGTCTGCTGCTGACTGCTGTGTGTGTAACAGTTAACTGTGTAGGAACATTCATCAATGTGAACGACTCATTGAGAACCTAATGAGGTCTTTCTCTATACATGTTCAGGGTTACATCCATGCTCTGTGGTTACATGTGCTACATGTACAGAGCTACATGTACATATAGGAGACCAGATTGGAAGAAGGCTACTATTGATGAATATTCTGATTTATGCAGATGAGTTCTGCAGGAGTAGTGGATACACTTGACCCAATGTTAACAACTTGTCTGTGAAGGCAGAGCTGCCAACCCTCCAATATGAATATTCAAGACTTATGCAAATACTGCGCAGCAAGCAAAACTGATTGGACAGAAGTGTGTTGGCATGGCTCAAACCTCATTGGCTGTATTAAGAGTTAAAATCTTTCTAAGTATACATTTTCTTGTACTTTGTTTTCTACAGACTTGGAGTAACAACAACCCTGCATAGTGTTTATTGGACTATGACTGAACATGAAGCTTTAGAGTACCGGTAGATCTGGATTTTGCCAGAACCTGTTGATTGCTGTCGATTTTGGGTAAGTCGTAAAACATGACTACAAGAAATTTCTATTAGAAATTTTACAATTGAGTAGCATGAGCTGGATTTTGCTTCTCGCATACTTTTTTATATATCTGTCAAAAATTAGATTAATTTAAACTTGGCAAAACAGTGAAGTGCAAAGAATTGTTAACCAATAATTCCAATGGTTGAAAATTTCAGTCTTGAATACTCTGCCAAAGATCTCTCTCTAATGTGAAGAAAAAAATGTTTGTAAAAATACCTCGTTAATGAAGAACATTTTACTATTAAACAAAAATTAATTTGCAAAACCATTTTAAAAACTTATATAATAAGTACTACATATATTAAAGCAATTTTTTTTTCAGAAGTACTGCCTGATATAATTTCTGTAAATTGTGGAAAGCTGCATTTTTCATGACTTCTTTGTTCTTAATCTTTTTTCTGTGTCAATTTTTTTCTAGTGAAAGTATCATTTTAGTGTGATGTTCAAACTACTTTATTTAATTTTTGTTAATTTTTTACAGCAATTGATGAGGCTCATTTTGGTGAGGTGATAACTGGAAAGTAAAAAAACAAAATCAGCGATGGAAGCTTCAGAAAATCGGTTACTAGAGGCTGTTACATGCATCTTGGTCCTTTGCATCGGGCTCACGCAGGCTGGCATAGGTAAGACTTCTTGATAGTTGAGGATTTGTGCTGCCTCCAAAGGGCCAGTCTGGTGTCCTCTTTGCGCCTGACTAACTGACTGACTGATTCACTGACTCCCCGATTCACTGACTCCCCGACTCACTCCCCGTCACTTGTCAGCCGGGCAGTGCTGTCGTATAGGTTTACTCCGTAATGCCAATGAATGGGCTAAATCTGGCCCATTGTGTGGTAATGTTGTGCAGACCCAACCCCAAACCGAAACAGACCCCAAACCCGCCTCAAAACTGACTTTGGTTCGGATTGGGTCGGTTTTTCCATCATTCCAGTCAGGTTGGGTTGGTTTTGTGTTTGCGATTTTCAGGTCGGGTCAGGTCGGTTAAGCCATCTTGTGAAAACACCCTGAAATAAACCGAAAACAAACCCCCCTGAAACAGTTTGGAAATTTTTGTGGTGCAGTATTATTGCAGTGTCACTGTGCCCGGTACTGCGCGTGTGTGGTTTGCAATATAACGTGTAGGCCCACCGGTAAGTCACGCCAGGAGTATTCACCGTACCGTTCAGTATGATTATTAGCTGAGAGACGACAATTAAAAACACAATTCACAAGACGCGGGTAAGTTTAGGCACAAAAAGCAGACACAGAGTTCCTGGAATATACATGAAGATGTATCCAAGCCAATGAGATATTCATTTTTTTTTCTTTGGGTCGGTTTGGTTCGGGTCGGTTCGGGTCGGTTTTCCCTGAATTTTTGTTGGGTCGGGTCAGGTCTGTCCGATTCAGGGTTAATTTGGGCCTTGATCAAATTGCCCATGCTTGCCTTATCTTGATATAAATGGAGGCCAATAGGCCAGTAAACTCTTCACCATCTTATAACCGACGTGCCCATGATTCATTAAAAATAGCTGGACATAATCCCTGAAGCTTTCAAGCAGAAATCACCCAGGGATTCCGCGGAGCAAAAGGGTATGAAGAAAAAGGAAACAGAGTTAGTGCGATCAGTGAGCTCCCATAGATCACTGAGGGTTGAGATGGATCCTTGGGAGTACAGGAACCAACCAGGTCCAGAGGAAATACTTTAAATTCACTTTAATAGCCAACGTTAAATCCGTCATTGAGTTTTTTCCAGCTGTATCATTTTTTCTTACGAGAGGGGAGTTGGTCTGATTATCGCATCTGTGGGCTCATGTCGTCCAATTACACAGTTCCTCTTGTAATTTCCTTGTTTTGTGTGATGGTGTTAACAGACAGTTGTGATGCAAATCCCAATTTGGTTCGGACAATTTCACACAGTCCAAATATTTGCTGACAAAATTATGGATTGAGAGCTTTTTTTCCCAAGTTGCCATTCACAGTACATTAACCCTAAACCTTCCCAAATCCTCCAAAATCCTCTTTGCAAAATGGCGGATTTTGCAGGATTGAGGCTTTTTTTGTGAATGACAGTTTTTTGTGTATGACAAAAATGTGCAGCTGATTTTGGAGGATGCACTGTGTCAAGGTCTTTGGACGGACGTTGTATTGTTTATGCCCAGCCGTGCATTAATTTAGGCCTAGATTACACTTGAAATTCTCCGCACTGCTCCAACATATTGACAGTGATTGCTGGATGATTTCACAGGTTTGAGCCAGTGGTCACCCCTCCAAGGACCAGATATTCAAGAAATAACGGAGGATTTTGCAGGATTGAGGCTGTATGCCATTTTTACATGGAGGCAGTTGGAGGATTTTGCAGGAGTGAGGTTGCGTCCTAGCAAAAATGCCTCTAGTTTAGGGCTAAAGGCAATAGGATCATCTGCTAGCACTAAAAAACGTAACTGCCAAAATACTATGATAGAGCTTTTTATTAGTGGTAACGATGGTTAGGACCTTACCATCGCTGAGAGCAAACAGTCTTCTCAAATCCCAGTACTACATCTGACCCTACTTAAGACGAAACGGTGCAAATTATAGACGTAGGGGAATTGTCAGGTAAGGGAACCAGACTAGCTGGCTTGCAGCCATTCACGGATGTGTAACTGAACTGAACTAACTAAAGTTGGTAAATTGGGGGCAATATTTGAAAAAAAAACCACCATTTTTTGTCAGCCTACCATCATTGGAAGTTGATATAAAAATTCCACTTTTTTTTTAAAAATTGACAGCACATCAGGTGCCATTATTTCACAAGATGCTTGAGACTTACAGTCAAGTAAGTTATTATAATTTGGTAGTTTTGTTTCTTGATGTTTGCAGTTGTCGTATATTACCTTTAAAGAGAATGTCAGGCACAATCAAAATTTGTATTGAGAGAATACAAATGTTGATAGGACTGGGATGAATAATGATGGATTTGCATCCCATCTCAGGGGAGTGGAAGGCATGTATTCCCAATGGTTTGGGAAGGAACTGGACACGGGCACCAGCCTGATGGGTCACATTAGCTTGGGAAAACATTTTCTTTACTTAAGCAGTAGCAGATGGGAAAGTCTGCAAAGCAGTAAAGCCAAACCACATCGAAAGCGAAAATAATCACTGGGGACTACCATTGAAAATAAACCTTTCACCTTTCATTAATTTTTTTTTTTTGGCACAAAAATTTATTTCGTCAGTCTAACACCAGGTCTGATGAAGTGTAATGCATTTTGCATGTTTCTTATATCCTGTGCTTGGATACTGTCATTTCTTTGGTCTAGGACGGCCACGTGTCTGGGCAATGAAAATGAATGTCACACACTGAGTGTGATATCACAAGTGCTGCGTTCATTGCGCGCCTTGTGGAACCTGCTGGCGCTCTAGCTTTGCGCAATGCATGAGAACTGTTATGTCAACGATTAGTCTCATGTCTGGCAGGACATCAAGACCTTCAGTTTTCAAAGGTTACATCGCAGTGATTTAGTTTATGTCTCACACAGTATAAAGTTACAGGCACTTCTCTGGCTTTGCCTCGGGTGCTATTGGGTGTTAAAAACATCATATCCCACTTTGCAGCATTCACATTTTAAAAAAAAACAGTACATGTAGCTGAAGCTTCTACATGTAATATGGAGTGCGATGAGATAATGTAGCATATATAAGCCATTTCGGAGTTACAAAAATGTACTACTGCACGTGCGCACATCAGATTCAACGATTTAGTGTCGGAAGATAAACAAAGCAGATAAATGCACTCAAGTCTATGGGGGACGTGGTAATCGAATCCACATTTTGCAATTTTGTTGTAGTAAAACAGAAGATGGAAATTTTTGTTCGCACAAAAGTTGGAGCACACGAAACAACGTAAACCATGGTGGCGTTGAAAACAATCAACATTTTGCATCTACTTCAAAATAAGAACTTTTCTTTAATTTCGTTGGTACCCCGCTATGATTTTTCACGCGTGTGGCGAACTGTTTATCCCCCGACCCTAATCGTTGTCATGGGATGTGCGCATGCACAGTAGTACATTTTTGTAACTCCGAAATGGCTTATTGTGTATCTCAGCATATGGCGTTTTAAAAGTCCTGTTCGAACAAGGATATCCAGGGCTCGACATGAACTTGTTTGGTCACTAGCCAGCCAGGCTACTGAAACAGACTCTTAACTAGCCCGCGGGCATTTTCACTTCCCACATGTTTTCTTTGTAGAGTGTACAGGTTTGCTTTCTGAATTTAATGATTTATATCTTTCTGTCCTTTCATCTTTGCCGTAGCCCAGTAAATTTTGACTCGCCAGCCGGGCTACTTAAGGAATAATTTGACTAGCCCGCTGCTGTTCTGACTAGCATTTGGCTAGCGGGCTACCGCTAAAGTCAGTGGCATAGCCAGGAATTTTTCAGTGGGGGGTGGGAGGGGGGGGGGGCGCTGGGGGGGCTGGAACATTTCATGGGGGGGCGTCATGTAGATCAATGATAATTTTTTTCGAAACTCAAAATTTCAGTGGGGGGGGGGGAAGACTGGGGGGGCGACAAGGTTTCATGGGGGGCTGTTGCCCCCCACGCCCCCCCCATGGCTACGCCACTGGCTAAAGTCGAACCCTAGGATATCCTTTTTTATAGGATGATCTCTGTGAAAAAGTGGTTTATTTTTTTAAAGCAGATCTCTTGCATTCCAATGTTTTATATATAGTTCAGTTCCCCTGGAAACCCCTTTAAGTTCCTCCTTCGCCCCTTCCCCTGCCCCGGTCAGTTAATGTTGCACATGTAGATCTACAATGTGTTGAAACAGCTTTCTGATGATAGGTACGCCGGATCAGGTTACAATGTGTTACTCATTGTAACGTATGTCAGGACACCTCATAGCGTTGTGTGAAATGATGGTGGGCCCTGTTGCTTCCCCCCTGATAAGAGAAGCAAGTGGGCCCAACTGCCTTTTATCACCAACCTTCTGCCAGCATGGCGGGGAGACACTCTGAGGAGACTTCTCATCAGGATGTCAACGCAGAGGACATTGTGGGTGTCAGAGGGTATCGGCGCCAGGATTGATGGGGTCATTGGCTTATGTGATGATGGACGAAGAATGCCAGTGCATGATGGGAAAGGAGACACCTGCATATCAGTGGGGGGGGGGGGGGGGGGGGGGGGGGAGTGAGGCAACTCCCGGCCCCGAAACATTTTGTGTCCCCCCCCCCCTTTTTTATAAGGAAATGAAAGAGTAAGCACCTCACAACCCCTCTAGTAATACCCTCTGGATCCCCTGCTTTATATTTTTGTAAATGGAACAAAAAAGTGGGATCACTTTTTAAAAAAATGCCATTTTACGGCCCTCGCCCTCCCCTTCCCCCAATTCAAACCCGAACACTACTGCTGTACGTGTCTATATCTGTTGGGCAACTCATCAAAAAAATGACTTTCATTCTTTCAAGAAATTAGAAGTTTGATGGAAATTTAGTACAAGTCTGATATTTTGTTAGGGTTCTTGAACTCTATAAAAACGATTACCGACAAAGTGGCTTGGTAAAATACACCTCCCAAATTTTGGATGCACTTAATGACCATCCTAACATAAAGCAGGTTTTAATCCAGTCCCCTGACAGCCTCTTATTATTGGGCCGTTCTTAATTA